GGTGGCACAGGCGGAACCGACATTATCGTGTATTACTTTTCGCACCGCTACAAAAAATCAGTCGGTCTGATTAACACGTTTGTCTCTCTTTGCATGGTGGCTATTTCCTTCACAATTTCGGTGGGACTTAACCGACCGACTTACAGCCACGAGTTGTGGTTCATAATTTTGATCGGTACCATGACTTACCTTTTTGTTAGCGTCATTATCATTGATTTAATCTACCCTAAGTATTCCAAAGTAAAATTAGATATTTATTCCAACCAACCTGAAAAAGTTTCGGCCTACTTAAAGAACAGCAATTTTCACCACGCTTGGTCAATCATCCCGCTGAAGTCTGGTTACACTGGTCAAGATAAAAAAGTGATTACGACCACCATTTTGCTTTTAGAACTAGGCGATATCATTCGGAAACTTTACGCCATTGACAAAGACCTTTGAATCATCGCGACTAAAATTAAGTTTAACTACGGTCGCTTTAACACTGCTAGCGTTGACTCTAGTTAGTTTAAACCGATTTTCTGAGCAACTAATTGATACTGTTTGTCGGCTACTTGGTTAGCACGGCGAGCGCCTTTTTGCACGATCTGATCAACTTGGTCTAAATAGTGTTGGTAACGATTTTGGATTAACGTCAAACACTGCTTAACTTCGTGAGCCAGAGCTTGCTTAAGCGGTAAATAGCTGTTTTCTCCGGCGAAAATTTGACTGACTGTCTTGAGACTTTGGTTAGTCAGAGCGGCGTAAATGGTTAGCAAGTTTTTAATACCCGGTTTTTTGTCGTCTAAGTAAACTTTGTTTTCTGAGTCGGTTTTTGAACGCAAAATTTTCTGAGCCGCCAACTCGGGATCGTCAAGCAGAGCGATCAAACTTTTCGGGTTGGGATCCGATTTGGACATTTTCTTAGTCGGATCGCTGAGCGACATAATTTTGGCTCCGACGGCCGGCAGAAGCGGCTCGGGCACTTGAAAAGTTGGTCCGTACTTATTGTTAAAGCGCTGCGCTAAGTGAGCCGTCAACTCAAGGTGTTGCAACTGGTCGGATCCGACGGGCACCAACTTAGGATTGTAAAGAAGAATGTCGGCGGCCATCAAAGTCGGGTAAGTCAAAAGTCCGCCCCGAATTTGCGTCGTCTGATTAGCTTGTTTTTGGCCTTTATCTTTGAACTGGGTCATCCGGGATAACTCGCCCACCGTGACGATATTTTGCATAATCCAAGCGAGTTGACTGTGGGCCGGCACGTCAGACTGGTAAAACAAAGTCACCTTCTCAGGGTCAAGACCGCAAGACAAATAAAGAGCCGCGGTTTGTTGGCGGTTTAATGACAAAGTTTCCGGATCAATTTCGATCGTCAAAGCGTGTAAATCGGCCACAAAAATAAACAAATCGTAACGATCTTGCAGAGCAACTAACTGTTTAATCGCACCGATGTAATTTCCCAAAGTTATTTTTCCGGTCGCGGTAATACCGGTTACAAGGCGAGGCTTGGACATGGTAAGTGTATTTTACCCGATTAGTTTTTATAACAATTTGGATAATGTATAATCAGTGTGCATAAGCCTAGGTTAACCATAAGGATGTAAGGATGAAAAAAGTTTTTGACGCCGAAAAATCAGAATTAGTCATCAAAGCCGAAGTTGACGGCGCTCAGTGGGTGACCGCTCAAAAGAGTAGCTTTGAAAAAATGCGCAACTCGCTTTTGGTCAAAGGTTTTCGCAAAGGCCAAGTGCCCGAAGCAATCGCTAAACAACACATTAGCAAGCGGGAAATTAAAGCCAAAGCGATTGACAAAATACTTGATGATCTAGTCAAAAAAGCGCAGGAATTAATCTCTCCCGACGATAAAGTGCTCGATCAACCGGTGCCTAAAATCGCCAAAATTAGCGACCAGGAACTGACGATTGAACTGCGTTACGCTGTTTACCCAAAAATCAATTTGGCCAATTACAAAAACTTGGGAGTTAAATACCAAGAGACTTCGGTTCAAGAAAGTCAAATCGAAAAAGAGCTGGAAAACTTGCGCGAGAAACACGCTCTGTTAGTTCCCTACGAAGGAAAAATCGAAAAAGGTCACCTAGTCAAATTTGATTTTGAAGGCCTTGTCGAAGGCAAGCCGTTTGAAAACGGCCAGGCTAAAGACTACGTTTTAGAAATCGGATCCCAAAAATTTATCCCTGGCTTTGAAGACCAAATGATCGGGTTAAGCAAGGGGCAAGAAAGCGAAATCAAGGTTAACTTTCCCAGCGATTACAACGTTAAATCTTTGCAAGGTAAACCGGCGGTTTTCAAAATAAAGATCCACGAAATTAAAGTTAAGCAGCTGCCTGATATAGACGATAAATTGGCCCAAGAAGTCGGTTTGAAAAACGTCAATAATCTCAAGGAGTTGCGCCAACACATCCGCGAAATGTTTGTTGAACAAAGCGCCATCCAAAGCCGCAACAAATTTATTCAGGCGGTTTTTGAAAAACTAAAGGCTGACACCAAAGTGGTGGTGCCCGACCAATTGATTGACAAAGAGACCCAAGCCATTTCTGAGCAATTTAGCGAGAATCTGAAACGCCAAAACTACACTCTCAAAGATTACGCGTCTTCGCTCGGGTTAAGCGAACAAGAACTTAAGGATCGTTTTCGCGAACAAGCGGTTAAGAGACTGATCGACTCTTTCATCTTTGCCGAAATAGCTCGCGCCGAAAAAATTCGCCCAACCGAAGAAGATTTTGAACAGCAGTACCAAAAATTTGCCAAGATCTACAACAAACCAGTCGAAGAGATTAAAAAAATGATCAGCAAAAACTACGCGCAAGTACCAATCATTAACGACAAAGTGATTAACCGCTTGATCGAACTTAACGCTTAAAGTTGCCTGATTTGCTCGAGAATAATTTGTTCTGCGGTGGTCAATTTAGTTCTTGTACCAAGCATTTTTTGGGTGACACGGACAATTGAGCGACCTAGGTTAGGACGCTCGGCACTGCTCGGGAAATTAACCAGTAAGTAATTCTTAAAGTTTTGCACCGCTAGTTTGCGGAGCGAGGGGTTTTGAGATGTGAGCTGGTCAATCTGCTGCAAAACTCGGTCGTAAAAATCGTTATCAAAATAACTATCGAATCGACTGAGATCGATGGTCTGGTTTTCAAAAATAACTTGGCCGCCCACCTTTTGCCGGGCTAGTTCATCCATCAAAACTATTTTGGCGAGACGGTTTTCGCTGCCAGAATGACTAATTCAGTTCTTGACTTTAGCGGCGATCGGATGCAAATTGAGGTTGGGAGCGTTTTGAAGCGCGAAGGCAACTTTATGAGCGTCGTGACTTTCCAGGCAATTTCAAAATTCCTCATGACTAATTTGAGACGCTTTTTTGTTCGGAGCGCTGTTTTTTAACTCTCGGAGTAAAAAATCGTTTCAACGTTGAAAAAACTGTTCGTATTTCCAAGGTACGTAGGGAAGATCCAGTTCCTCGCGGACTAATTCGGCGGCTTTTTTAAACCGCTTCTCAGCGACTAGTTTCTCAATTTGGTCTAGCTTGTTTTGGTAATAATTCGGGGGCATAATCAATTAGGTCAATAAAAAAATGGCGATCGTGGCAGGAGTCGAACCTGCGACCACATGCTTAGAAGGCACGTGCTCTATCCTACTGAGCTACACGACCGATTAAGTGATAACTTTTATTTTAACACCTTAAAGTTTGATTGGATTAAGGGTTTTTAAAAATCACGTTCGCCACTTTGTAATCATCGATCTCTACTAGGCAGTAGGTCTTACCTTCAAACGAACGGGGAAAAGTAATCGAACCGGGGTTAATAAAAGTTAAGCCCTGGTAATTTTCCCAAGTTGGAATGTGCGTGTGACCAAAAAGCACCACTTGAGCGCGGTATTTTTGGGCAAATTGAGCGAGGGCAAGTTGCATACCTCCCGAACGATCAAAGACGGTGTGACCGTGGCAAATCGCCACCCTTAGATGGTCAAATTCAAGCACTTCCTCTTCAACGCTAAAACCTTGATCGTTGTTGCCACCCACGTAAAAATTGAACATGCTTTCAATCTCGGCTTGGCTCATTTGTGAATCGCCTAGGTGGACGCTGTAATCGTAATTTTCGCGCTCTAAAACTTTTTCCATCACGTCTTTGTCGCCGTGATTGTCGGAAATGACCAAAATTGTAAACATGTTATTTTTCTCCCAACCTATCTTTGATAGCTCTGGCTAACCGCAGTGGCACAACCTCGGTTAACTCGTCAATCGAAGCGTTGTAAATGCTAGCGTAATCACCAAAGTACTCCAGCAACTTTTTCTCAGTCGCAAGGCCAATTCCCTTGACGCTGGTCAAAACACCTTCCAACGTAGTTTGTCTTTTCCGACGGTGAATCACTTTGGCATAGCGATCAACTTCGATTTGCACCCCGCTAAGAAAATTATACAAATTAGACTTTTTCAACTTAATCCTCTGCCCGGACTGACTGAGCAAATAGTCGGTTTTATGGGACCGATTTTTACCAAGCGCTACGACTGCTAAGCCAGGCAAAAGACTTTGAGCCACGTTTTGCTGAGCTCTACCTCCGTCAACGATTAATAGACTCGGCCAAGCGTTGTCGCGCTCGCGGTAGTGTTTAGTTAAAAGCTGACCCATGTATTCAACGTCAGCTTGGCGACCAGTGGCAGCCAAACTGTATTTGCGAAATTTGCGCGGCATTTTGACTCCGTCCTGATAAACAACTACCACACCGATCGGTAAAGTGTTGTTAGTGTGGGAAGTGTCTACCACGTCAATTTGACCAAGATGCTCTAGTCCCAAAAGATCTTTCAACTCCTGCAAAACTTTCTGCTGGCTGGATTGGACTAATTGGAATTGTTTTAACTTTTCACTCAAGTTATCTTTGGCATTTTCAATCGCTAGATCGACGATTTTTTTGTTGTTGCCTTGGCGCGGTACGACGATTTGAAAATCGGTGCTTTCAAAGTTTAAGTTGGAAAGTAGCAAGTCGGGTTTGAGATTGGATTGGTAATACTGACTAACAAACTGGCGCACCGTGTCCAGCGTGGGTGCAATTTTTTCGACGATTTTTTCGTAACGAGATAAAAGGTTGCCCTGACGGTAAAAAAGCATCGAGACAGCGATGTAACCCGCTTGTTCTAAAAACACAATTACGTCGACATTTTTTAAATTGTTAATGCGGGCGGTCTGATGGTTTTCTAAAACTTGCAGAGCTTCAATCGTTTGTTTGATTTCGTGCGCCATTTCATAGTTCTCTTTTTCGGCGTGCGACTCCATCTTTGCCTTGAGAAATTTAATCAAAGCACCTGTTTGACTAGAGAGCAGTCGTTTAATTTCTCGAAACTTGCTTTCTAAACTAGCGGGTTCAAAATTTACAATCGGCAAGCCTTTTTCGTAAACGTACATCCGGTTCAAAAGGTTGACTATTTTACGGACGCCAAAACCAGTCGGAAAAGGTCCGTAGTAAAAAGCGTGCTTGGTTGCCCGCTGCGAGCGGATCCGGTAGAGCGTTTTGATGGTCAATTTTTGGTTGCGACGGACTTCAATGTAAGGGTAGTGCTTATCGTCTAAAAGTTTGACGTTGAACTTGGGAAGGTGTTTCTCGATGAAGTTTTTTTCCAAGATCAGCGCGTCTCTCTCGTTAGGAGTGATCACGTAGTCAAAGTCTGAGATTTGCTCTACCAAAGCGGCGGTTTTGTAAGAATTAAGCATTCCGCGAAAATACTGACGCATGCGGTGGCGAAGATTTTTAGCTTTGCCAATGTATAAAACTTCGCCGATTTGATCTTTCCACAAGTAAACGCCTGGTTTAGCCGGAATGTGATCAAGTCGGCTTTGATCCATCTACTTTTTTTCCTTTGGCAAAACTAGGCCGATAGCTTCTTTTAACTTGTCAAACGGCAAATATTCGTAGCCAAGCAGATGGGCGTGACCGTCCTGAACCAAGTAAAAAGCCGGCACTTTGAGAACTTTTCAAGATCCAGAATTTTCCCGACCAAAAAGCGCTGCTTGCTGGGCGTCAACTTCGATGAAAGTGATCGGATCGTTAGCAAATTCTTGCTCAAGTTGGCTGATGATCGGTTTGGCCATTTTACAATCTCCGCACCATTCGGTCGTAAAGACAACGAGGTGGGTCCCGCTTTTAATTCGCTGCTGGCACTGACTTCAAGTTAGTTTTTCCACGTTAATTCACCACAAAAACGATAATCGCGATTAGACCCGCTAAAACAAAAGTGTGGAGTCACATTGACATGCGAATTCAAAGTCCACCTATTTCGCTGTAAATAATTTGCAGCGTGGCGTTAAAAAATACGCCTAAACTGAGCGGATAAGCTAAAAGAGCCGTTCACTTAGCCACTGATAGATTAAAATCGCCGTGAAAGAGGAAGTAAAGACCCAGAACCAGGGCCAGGTAAAAAGCAAAAGCTAAGCAGTGAACAAGCAAAACAAACAAAGCCATCAAAAAATCAAGCGTTCCGTATTTGTCGCGGTTAAAGGTTATTCTTTTCATTAGAATGCAAAAACATTATAGAAAAAATGTGCCGCCCCTGGAGACGTGGTTAATTACGTACGTTTAAATTTGATTTTTTCTAACTTATCTAACTTTGTAATCACGCCGCGTTCAATTAAACGCTTGCGGTGATCTTGGAAAGATTTTTTTCGACGGTTTGGCATTTTGATTCCTTGCTAAATTGAACAGAATTATAACAAAGTTTAAAAAGGGTCGTCAAAGGTCGTTTGTTCCTGCTTGTCGGCGTTAACTGCTAAAGTCGTTTCTTGAACAGGCGAATTTAAAGCGGTTTTTTCGGGCTTAACCGCGACCGGTTGATTTTCTTGGTCGCCGGCTTGAATTACAGCCGGATCTTGGCGGACTTTTTTGCGTCTGGTTGGTTGAACTTTTAAAACCACGCGGTTACTTAAGAGGCGGTAATAAAGACCTCAAACTGAACCGGTGAAAAGAATTGAAAAGGGCACGATAACCCATAAAATAGCCACCACAAAAGCGCCCACTCCAGAAAGAATCATCGCAAAGAAAGAGTAGAGAAAA